TGTAAAAATTAAAAAAGACCTTATGCAACTGGAATTTATAAACTGGGATCATATCATTCATATACAGGTTCGGGGTTGATGTATCTTATTGATATTGTTTGCGAAGATGTATATATTCTCACCATTTAAATCATTAACCTCTATATTTGTTTTTTGTATGATTGATTCATGTAATTATAAATTAAAATCGCACCTATAATTGAAATTAAATCTCTCTCTCCCTCTCTCCCTCTCTCTCTCTCTCTATATATATATATATATATATATATATATATATATATATATATATATATATATATATATATATATATATATATATATATATATATATATATATATATATATATATATATATATATATATATATATATATATTCATGATCATTAGCAAAAAGGCAGGTTGGGGTATGTATCTGGGTGTCAAGATCAAGTAATAATTTAACTGCGTGTTTAGTGTAGTAAGTGACTACATAATATACAAGGTAACAAAAAAGTTCAGTCCGTTGTTAAAGGAAAAAAGAAAACGCTTCACATTATGTCTAACTTATATTTAGTCTTCGAGGTAATCGCCATTGGCATCCAGCACCTTCTGCCAACGTGTCTCCATCTGTTCAATGCCCTTGAGGTAGAACTCAGGGGATTTTGACGCAAAGAAGTCCGTGGAGGCTTTACGCAAGTCTGCTTCATTGGTGTAGAATTTCCCAGGAAGATGATTATCCAGGGAGTGGAAGAGGTAGTAATCGGATGGCGCAAGGTCAGGAGAATAAGGTGGATGGCACAAAGTCTCCCACCCAAGTTGCTGAATGGTATCCCTGATCACTTGCGAGACATGCGGCCTGGCGTTGTCATGGAAGAAAAGCACAGCTTTGTGATTCACCAGTGCTGGCTCCTTCTGGAGCAATGCCTGTTGCACACGTTTCAATTGCTGCGAGTATAGGTCTCCAGTGACCATTTGGCCCGTTGGTAATGAACCACTTGACGACCTGTCCACCAGACACAAAGAATAATCTTGTGTGGGTGCATAGGCGGTCTTGCGGTGTGAGGGACAGCATTCTGAGGAGACAACCAATGTCTGGAACGCTTGGGAGTTTCGTACAGAACCCACTTTTCATCACTGGTAGAATAAGATTGAATAAGGATGCGGTACAGTGGCGAGAAAGCAGCGATACGCAGGCTGCCACACGTTGTCCCTTGTTGACCTCCAACAGCGTTTGCGGAACCCATTTGCTCAGTTTGTACGTCTTACCTAGGTGGTGCAGGTGAATTCTAACTGTTTCATTGGAAATGTTGAACTGTCTTGCCAGTTCACCACACGTTAGACTACTGTCCTCGTCAATAGTCGCCTTCAGGACTCCGTCATTCAAGACCTGTGGTCGTCCACTGCGAGGCTCGTCATGGAGAGACAAATCTCCTGACTTGAATTTTCGAAACCAACGCCTTGCAGTACGTTCATCCACAGCACTATCCCCAAACGCTTGACATATGCGGCGACTTGATGCAGCTGCTGATAAGCCCACTTTGAAGTCGTAAAGCAAACAGCCCCGAACGAGATCTCTAGACACTTCCATATTTCTCACAGCTGTCCGGTTTATAACTGATGGCCCGGCAGGGTGCGCATGTTTTTTATAACGTCTGAGGTTCCTACTTCCGGCTGTCCGAATTTTATAACAATTGGTACTCGCATTTTGTATATATTTCAACTTCATTCAATGATTAATCAAAAAACGGACAGAACTTTTTTGGTTACCTTTTATGATACAGAAATCCAATGGCGAATAAAAAGATCCAGATCTATATTCTAGAAATTAAGCATAGCATTGAGGCAGAAACCTACCGTTCGAAACAAAGAAAAGAAAGCTGTGCAGCTGTTTTCTTTCAACCATTTCACCCCAAGCAAGGCGATAAAGCCCCTAAGACGTAAGAGGATTACTGAGTTTTAGAGAAATTGGGAAAAATATGCTATTAAAGAGAGAGGAAAATAAAAGAACAATTAAAAAAAAAAAAAGCAGAAGATGACGATTGACAATGCATTTAAATTTTTTTAACTCAAGTTACTCAGTTATTACTCAAGTTACTCAGTTATTGTTTGGATAAGTCTTGTTCTAATGTACATCGTCTTTGTCATGTTGTATTGATAATGTTATAATTTATGAATATGTCCTGAAGATGGTTTATTTGACCGAAACGTCAGACGTTGAACATATTAACATTAAAACAGCATAATCGTATATAAGGATTTTTGTTTTGTTTTTTCCGTATATATTTTTCTTCATACTGTCGAATCTATATCCATATATTTGCTTATATATATATATATATATATATATATATATATATATGCAAGGTGTACCAAAAATGCTTCTACAAGCTTTGGTGCTGGTTCTATACGGTAATATGAGATGTATGACAGGGTTAGGGAAACACTTGACTTGTGCTGGTATATGGATCGTCTCCGATATGAATATTTTGCCATTGTTAAACGGAACAGTGCTCAGTTAATTCACTACAACAGATGTTAAACGGTGAAGACAGACTAGCGGGTCTTCTTGATGACAAACGTCAGATACTTGATATTTTCAATTTATACAGATTAATCGGCTCAGTAGATGATAGATACTACATAGACTCTTATAGAATAATAAAGACGTTTTCTGATAGCCGATATTATTTAGAATCGATAAGACAATACAACCGTGACAGAAAAAAAAACCCGGAAAATACGTGGAAATTGCCAGGAAATGGCAGACATAATGCAGCATAATGATAGCAAGTTGTACAATTATCTTATTCACCCAATACTAGGCTCAAGTCTTAGTCACGATAGAGTGTTATTGAATGAGATATCTGAATAGGTGTAAAGTAATATATGCATATTATTAGTAAATGTTGAATAGATAACATAACGGTTCAACTTAACACGAAGAGGTTAAGATTGCAGTATTCGGGAAAGTATCCTCTCGGGAGCCCGTTCCATAGAATGATAGTTCTATGGAAGAAGGTGACTGAGTGAATCTTCCACCTTACTGGGAATGAGGATGATTTGACATGTAAGTGACATGGCTTTCGCTGGTAATGAACGTCTGAACTTGTGAGACTAAGGAATGCAGTTCGTCTGAACCATAGAAACGGCGAACATTTTGACGAAATATTTTCCGGAGTTCCACCAATTCAGACATTCACAACTACAGGCGTCTAGCATCAACTCATCCTCTTTCCATTTGTATGGTGCCACGGTCTGTTATGGGCCAGAAAGAAAGAAAACGGAAAATTTTTTTTTAGGTTGAACAAGTGTATTGAAATAGCAGATATATACAAAATAAGAGTGTTATTCGTCAGCAGATAGAAATGTCCGTCGACTCTCCAGGAACTCTCGCAGTTTGGTATGTATGAAAGGAGGAAGAGTTCTTTCCCATGTAAGTAGGTCACCATAACATATGGTGATAATAAAAGACAAAGAAACGACGTACACGAAATACAATTTAAAATAAAAAAAAAGAAATAGAAAAATAAAATTTAAAAAACTCGGGTAAAAAGAAGCAGATTGCGCTTTTAAACATATAGGTAGGAAACCAAGAAAAAATCGCGAAGAATTCATCGAGATGATTAAAATTAAAAAAATAAAAATAAATAGAAATTCTAATGTAGCTAAGAGAAGTTGCAGAGGATAGAGAAAAAGAAATGGAAGACAACTTCTTTAAAGAAGAAACGGTAGAAATAAACGCTCAGATAAAAAGAGCAAAAACAAAACAAAAAAGAAATAGAAAGAAAAAAGAAAGGAATTAGTTGAACTGAACGCCAATGATGAAAAGGAACAATTTAACTTTTGTAGCCATCTGTTCAGAGTGAGGCAATTAATTACTATAAACATGGCCGCCATTTTGTCATATACAATATGACATTCTCATTTCAGAAGAATTATGAACGTAATGCTGCGTAGAAGAAACAAAAACCAACAAGCCTTTACAAGTTAAGCCCTCATAAAGAGAAAAGCCATTCAACAGCGTAACAGTATCAATTCTAAGTCGTTGCGATATGTCAAATGCCTTTCCAAAGTCATTTGTCACTTATATGCATGCGTTAATATCTTTAAACGATATTAAATCTCATTGATGTATCAGTCTTTATACTTCCGTGTCAAATGACATATTTTAATCGGATATAAATTCTGAAATGCTTTTGCTCCTGCTTACTTTACGCTAACGTTTCACCATATATATGACAGAATGCATAAATTTACACGGATACTTTTAGAAAGTCTATTCAGTGTTCAAAATCTACATTGAAGTCATTTCAGAATATAAGTATTTTTCAAAAACACAAATTGCTCTATACGTTTTTTCTCTCTGTTCATCTTTTCTGTGCTCTGTTTTTTCCATATGTTCGAAGATCATGACTCTCCACATTTTCTTATCCTTTGAAGCACTGAGTAATGTTTGTCTCCTTGCTCTCTTTCCGAGTCAATGTTCTGCCAAGGATTTACACAAGCCTCGTTTCCCTCATACGTTCACATTCTCCGAGTTTTTCTTCGTCCTGTTCAAAAAATTCAATTGTATATTTCTGTAGATTTTCTTTATGTATTCTTCAGAAAAACCTCGGTGTTCACATGCTAAGTTGTGATATCCTCAGCACCTTTCTATAGAAAGACCTCTCTGTTGTCACTTCTCTACTTTATCTGTGAAGAAATTGTACCGTTTTATCTGTCATATAGATGGATTAATATTACATAGTGGCCATCACACTTTTCATTGTTTCTAACTAGATTTTCCTGTTTAGTAACATTTAATTTATTTGTTCCAAAACATTTTTCGCAATTCCAATACGCATTCAGTTTAGCATGTCTTATTTTCCGTATTTTTTTATTTGAATTTCAAATAGTTAAATAAATGTACTTACTTTATTCTGACACCTCAAAATTATAGCTTGAATCTTGGAGAGTTCTGTCTTTTTTATACTTAAGTTTACACGTTTTAAATGCGTAATCCTGTTTACTGTCATATAATGTTGAAATACCAGTTCACGTACGATTACCGAAGTTAAGCAACATAGATCCTGGTCAGTAACTAAATGTGTGACCGCTTGGGAATACCAGGTGCTGTATTCTTGGATGTACGGCTGGCATCATGGGTAATAAAATCGGAATTTTTAATCGGAGAGCCGAGTAACTATTCCAGTTGTGTTCGTTATATTCACGTAAGCGGAAAAACCCTTGGGAAATGAATGAAGCTTGTTATTCTCCCCACCTATAGGTTAATTAGTAAGAGTTGTAAATCATTATTGTCTCGAAATATCTTAGAATCTAAAAATACTTTCTGGCTTAAATAATCTGGAATAAGATGGTAAACCGCAGAAAACATACTACTCGATCAATTCGCAATCATTTACTACATCATTTAGGAATTTCTGAATATTTTTTTGTATCTACCATCTGTTACGGTATCATCTGTCATCATCGTTGTCACGTCGTCGGCTTTATCTCGTATCTATGAATTTAACTTCCTTTCTGATCACTTCCTTTATGATGATGGTGATAATATTTAAGTAGATCAATTATTGCATGAAAGTGCCAATAAGATTGACTGCATAGTAATGTTGATAGAGGAAGTGGTCAATTTTGTCGAGCCATTTCTATTGTTGTTTGACGTCTTCCTTTTCTTTTCAGGTGGCTTCAAAGTTGTTCGATCTGATGGTAATGGAAGATCGCCAGTTGGTTCAGTCCTCCGTTTGTACTGCATGAGATTTATGCTCAAGTCCGCTGGTTTTCCTTGTTGTTTTGAGTTGGTCCGTGTATCTTCGAAGGGTGTATCGCCAGTTGGTACGGTATTGTGCATGTGTTTCAAACGATTTTGGGTGACCTTTTCCAAGAAATGAGCTGGATAAGACTTGACGAGAATTTCTCTGACTTCTTACCTCTGATGGCTTCGACGTTCTTAGTTCAGATTCGTGAGGGAATGTCGCTAGTTGGTACGGTATTGTGCACGTCTTTCAAACGATTTAGGGTCAAGTCCAGTGGCTTTCAATGTTGTTATGAGTCGGTCCTTTTATCTTCGAAGAGGGAAAACACGTGTTCATCATCTGTATATTATATGTTATTGAGATTGTGCATGTAGTAGAATGGTTTAAGACAATACCAATTGCATAATAGTAAGATTTAATAAACAATATTTATTGTACGAAAATGTACAATTATAGCATAAGGCCAAAAATCTGGTCTTCATCTCTCTTATACTTAATCCTAGCTAGCCACCATCACTAATCACTGTCTTTGCACCAAAACAACACATTCATACTTATCATTCTTACTACAGTCACTATAATACCCCGAAGTCTTTATGAAGTCCTCATATTTTATTATCGACTCTTTGTTGTGAGAGGGGAATAAAATAACAAGTTTTAGAAATTTATAACCCTAATGTGTATTTACAATGAGAACAAGATTTATTTACAAGAAACAAAAAATGATGTTAGTAATAATCCCCTAAAAAATCTTTAAATGTTGCAGAAATTAATGCGGGATTTTAAAAATTCAAACAATCGTTCGACTAAAGACTCACTCAAACACAAACCCATTCACACACAATAACAAAAACAAAAAAAATCACTCGAAAGACGAAAGGCATCCCTCATATACAAGAGAACTGAAAAAACTGGTCACCTAACGGCGGGAGGGGTAATTAAACTAAAGAAAGTGGGAGCAAAATAAAAGAGGCCAATGAGCATGCATCCCCTCGCTAAGTTAATTTTGATGGAAAAACTAAAAGCAAAATATGCATAAAGTACACTATGTGGGGGCAGGGCTGCTAATATTCAACCAAAATTTCCAGTTTAATAATGTATAACCGGAATCAAAATGAAATTTTATGTCATCTCGTTTTTCTTCAACACAGACGCGCACCATCCACCCACATTTTGCCAAATTCTAATGGCGGGGACTCATTTTCTTTTCGTCATCATCTTGACTTTAAGCTGATGCCTAAAGAACAAGATAAGTTGGGAAGAATTAAACTTCTCTTCCCCATAGAATTCCTTCTGTCGCGTTGTGCAGATCACTATTTCATAGCGCCTAGTAAGCAAAAGAACACATAGTGCTCAGCCTTAGTCGACATCAGCACAATATTGCTACAAAGAGAACTAGCCTCGAGAACAAAGAACTTTCCGCGCATACTGCGAACCATGATGTCTTCAATAAAATTGCACAATGGGCCTACGGCTCTGCAGTAGAAGAAGGTATGATAAAGGTTCTCCTCAAACTCACTTCAGCGAACGCATTTTGGAGATTATTCCAGCCCCGCCAAACCATGTCTCTTTCTGACTCAGAGGGGCCCTTCTCAAAACCAGCCAGACAAGGAATGCCTTAATGAGGCTTTTCAAACCGGGCCCTCCACTTCCTGCTTCGCTCGCCTGTCAGATAATCTTGAACAGACCCCCTACCTAGCATGTGATATAACGCATTACTAAGCATAGCCTAGCCGTCGGAGATGCCATCCGTCGCCCGTAAGATAAATTTGAGACCAATTCGACATTCACGATAAGAGCAGCACACGTCTTGGTGTAAAATGCGGACATCCTCCTCGCACGAGTGCGGACTTCTCAGGGATGGGATGTTTTTAGGGGCGTCTTCCAGTATTCGTCATTTCATCCAATTGCATACATCCTGTCTAGGAAAGAGATGCGAAGCGGATGTTGACTAAGCATAAAGATAGGCATATCCAGGCCGCCTTCAGAAGAGTGGAGTTAACAGATTTCCCGACATATCTTGGGAGCTTTGCTTCCCTACAAGAAAAACAATACCCCTACTAAACTCATTAGTATGACATACGGGAGTGGATCTGCGGAGAGTCGGTAAAGGAGAATCTGGTAGATGTGCGAAGCACAGTCTTCCGCTTTGCCCTTTCAGGAAAGCCTCCTTCGAGACAACTCTGCATTCGATCTTCTCCCGCACCTCCGACAAATTCGTTTTCCAACGGAGGAAAAGCCTGGGAAGTGAAGCCCCCTTTCAGGCGCCAAATCGCAAGCATGAAAGACTTATCGGAGTTGATCATGTCATTTGTCACTGTCTCGTACCCACAGATCTCTTTGCTAAATTCACCAATCTCAGTTCTGCTCGACAGAAGAAAAGAATCTACGTCGGCATAGGCAGAATACCTGGCCGATGTGTTAGTACCCGGTAAATAAATTCCGCGTAGGACCGAATTCGCCTTGCAAAGGAAATGGTCCATCGCAAGAACGAAAGTGGACAACCTTGACAAATGGAGCGGGGCAGAACGAAAGGCTGCGATTGAACCCTCTTCACTTCTACCAGATTCACCGGGGAACGCATAGAGAAGTCGGATCGAGGTACGAAAGTACGGCCCGAAATCGGCAGCGTAAGAGACAGCCTACAGAATTCGACGGTCAACCCTGTCGGATGCCCTGGACTGATGTAAATTAATCCACAGGGCTTCACTGTCGACTTGCTCAATGGTTAAACATAGCAAATGAATGTTGTCCTGAATAGCCCTGCCCTTAATAGATCAAGTTTTCGTAGCAAATCAGCCTAGAGAGGACATCCTGCAAACAGGCGGCTACGATCTTGGCTAATATCTGCAACTCAAAGGCCGATAATTACCTATCCCATCATCCGTTTTCTTTGTTCTTGCAAAGCACTTTGATCACATCCCTTGTGTAGCGTTGAGGTATAGACCACTGATTCATCTAGTGGTTGTAAATCAGTGCTAGCAATGGGAAAAAGACGGGCGAATGCTTCAAGTACAGTTCGTAAGGAAGACCGTCTAATCCCGAAGAATTGTCCCGGACAACCGATACAACTCAGTACCAGAAAAACATAACTTTTTCATAACAAAATAAAAGTAATTTATTAAGGATTAAAACCATAATTAGCGAATACTTTCCTATAAATATGGACTATGAAAAGGCATTATGTAAAATAGAACAAGTTTTTTTGTTTTTGTTTTTAATAATTTCTAATGTCGATCGTAAAGAAATTTATTTTTAATGAAGTAAAGTAAAATATAAAAAATAATTCAAAACTTGTTTTTAATTATTTTTAATGTAGGTCGTAAAGAAATTCATTTTTTAATAAAGTAAATTAAAATATGAAAAATAATTCAAAACTTGTTTTTAATTATTTTTAATGTAGGTCGTAAAGAAATTTATTTTTTTAATAAAGTAAATTAACATATAAAAAATAATTCAAAACTTGTTTTTAATTAATTTTAATAAATTAAATCGAAACATGAAATACAAAATGAAGCAGATATTTTTTGGTTTTTAATTATTTTTTAATATGTTAAATCGTTATTTAATGTATTTTTAATAAAGCAAATTGAAATGTTTATTTCATATATGTAATTTCGCAATTTTGAGTTGTCTATTCCTGATAAATTTCTACTGTGAAATGCGGATTTCCGTTTTTTTTCCATTTCCTTAAATTTCCTTCGTTGTCCATATGTTACGTACAAGTTATTTCAACATTTTTCTGTTGAAACACATGTTTATCTTTTCATCAGTGAAGAAACTAACCTCCACAGCCATATTGGAAGATTGATATTAATTTGCTTTCTTTATAACGAAGCTGTCTTGTTCCTTAAACATTAATTATCTTTTAGAAGGTAGAAGGTATTGTTATGGGTTAATTGAAAACTCTTCCTAAATTCGTGAGGTTAGTATTTACTATGATTTATGAGGTTACTCCAGTTCCTGGTGTATTTATCTGAGAATAAATCTCAAAGGACAAACCAAAGACTGCGATGTCTGCATGCATAATTCTAGAAGGGAGAATATCTGAAAATGGTAACAACTTTCTGCAAAGAATGCACAATTTGGTGTTGCATACAATACTATTTACAGTATAGTACTGTTAAAATTATTACGTTTTAAAAGACAAGTCTGCTATATTTTCTTTTAATATCTTTCTATATAACATATTTAAAAAATTAACGTAGCTTTACTGTGACTTTTCTATAAATACTGGGTAACCCAAAAAATGGGAATTTTTGAAGTGCATATTGCCAGGCATGAGCAAGTGGCAACACTGCGAGACACTGACCTTGAGCAAGTAAACATTTCGCCATTTAGAATTCAAGATGAAATTCACAGCATC